TCCCATAAGTGGCAGCACATATTCGCCAAAAGGTCCATTGTGACGGTGTAAAATCAAATGGCAAAAAATTGCTTTCAGCGCGCGTTTTCTGGCAAGCTCTTGAACGAGAAAATTTTCACTTTCATTACGTGGATTTTGTTTCAGCAACCCACAGTTAGAATGTTTCAATTTGTTCTATTGCAAGCAATCAGGATCCACAGCTTTCACCACGCCTGAATGTAATAAAATACTATGAAAATTCAAACATTTTAGCCTGAGCAGTACATGTACAAGCTTTAGCTTTTGATGCGCTCAAGAGTGCAAAATGTAGCTCCTTTCCAGTCTTGATCAGCGCGCGCGATATTCTTCCGTACACAATATTTGACAAAACCTCACACTCCACCCCTCGCATTTTTTTAAATATTTTTGCAAGCCATTAGGTGGTCCGCCAAGATCACCAAATTAATATTGCTACATTTCCTAAGCCCCAGTGATAGCAACCCATTAAAAAAATAATAATTGCTTGGCTGCAGTCATTTTGACTGTCCCAGCTGCACCCAGTGCTAAAAGTAATTTTGATCACAGGTGTTGACAGTTCTACATTGACTTTACCAAACTGAACATGTTGATCAGCTAAAGCTCATTTTTCTGTGTTTTCAAGTCCCACGGTCAAAATAAAAATCGCAGTGACCTGAAATGAGAAACCTGACCGAAAGAAAATAGTTTATTTGGTTTTACTTCTGGGGGTATTTAATTACTCAAGCTAGAATTTCGGAAACCCACGTCTATTACGTCATTACGTTGGTATTATTTTTTTTTATCTATAAGGCGCCAAACACGTGCGCGACAAAACGGTTGACTTGTCGTATACGAATCTGACCAGGTTGAAAAATGCGTAACTGGCCTCCGAACTCCCCGGATGTGATGAATGCGCACCACCAATCTCAACTTTTCGACGTGTCGGTTCTGTGGTCGTGCATGTGCCTCGTCATAACCTCAGGACGATTTTCAAGTTTTGCTCTGACCACATTTGCTAGAGACGCGAGCAGATAGCCTAGGCAACTGCTCCCTTTGCACGAGAACCGGTGCAGTCGGGCTGCATTTCCACTGAAAGCTTGCGCATCGAAAAACAATTAAACGGCCAGGGATCAGGGTTGCCAGGCAGGTTCGCACTCAAACAGCCAAATTTTAGAATGGTGTAGCCCAAAAGTAGCCAAATGCAAGAGATTTATATAGCCCAAAAATAACCATATTTACGATATCTGCAGAGTCCAAAAACTCGCGCGCTCGAATGTATACGAGCTCAAGGCGAAGGCGCTTTGTTTGGGTTAGGAGTAGCTTGCAAGATCTGCGACATCTTGAAATGTACTGAAAACGTTTTATTTAAAACACAAAAAAGTATAAAAATTCCCCACAAGCGTTTTTAAAGTCACATAGTCATGAAACACTCACCCGTGCTCGGCTGATTCGCCACATGCATGATTTCCGTGTTAAAACGGGGAAAAAATTCTTAGACATAGTAACCCTGGAGCTAGGGGACACAAAGGGACGGACAGACACGAAACTCCGAGCACAGCTCTTTCGTTTCTCTCCCTTTGTGTCCCCTAGCTCCAGGGTTACTATGTCTATCCTTAACCAACTCGCCTGCCTACTTGCTCTAACTTAAAAAAAAACTCTTCCGTAAGGTTGAAATCCTTACAGTACTCGTTCTTCCCAGGGAAAGCAAACTTAACATATAGGTTGTTTTGAAGAGTTGGAAGGGACATCCTTTTAATCCCTTAGGTTTCACTTTGTGAGGGACACGTGACTGGATACTCTCTCCGCGGCGGCATTCGACATGGCCTATGGACAGGGTCAGGTCTACTATCAAGATAAGTGGCGTCATGAGCGCGATCGCAAGCTCGGATAGCAACGGAAACATGACTGCTCCTGCAATTCGAACTTGGCCTTGCCCGGATTATTTATTTTTCTAAATCTGTTGTCTTTTCTTATGGCTCACTATGAAACTTCCATGTTTCGCGGAAAAACCTTCTTCGTTATATCCGGTACAGCACGCGTTATCAGACGACATTAAATTCTGCTGGATACCTTCAGTTGGCTTTAGTTTCATCATTGCTTGGAAGAGGTAGCTCTGCAAGAGGATGGTGAGAGAGGATGGTGGAAAACTCGAGGAAATACGAGACGCCAGTATGAAGAAGAAAGACCTTGGAAGCATATAATAAGCCATAATGAATATACAAAACCGATGTCTTCAGAGCGGCGTCATGCCCCCGCATCTTCACACAGAAATTTTCTGAAAGCGGGAATCCGAAAAGGGTGGACTGTCGCTTTGTGTCCATGCTAAAGTGTCGTTTGCAGATCTTCTCTAACCTTCCCCTCCCCCCCCCCCCCCCCCCCCACACACACACACAAAAAAAAGAACAAAAAATCGCCGCGCTAGGATTTTAATTCGCCCAAAGGTAGCCACATGGTCAACCACCATATTTTGACGCCAAATGCATTACAAAGTAGCCCAGTTTGGCTATTAATAGCCCAACCTGGTAACTGTGCCAGGGATGTAAATTTCGGGACAAAGAAAAATACCACTCTGTATCGAAGCGCCCCCACACACGATTTATTGCATTCATGCACAGGTCTGGAAGGTGATCCCATCGCCCTCTGTTGGTTCAGAATCACACTAACCAAGGGTGGGGTTTCACCTGTCCCATGGAGCCGGCGGCGCCTGTAACCGCGAAAAAATGCGAAAGAAATGCCCATTCTCCCATTGGCTGAGCGAAACGGCTCCTAGATAGCCATTGGCGGCCGCTTTATGATAGCGCGCGCTCAGCCGCCGCTCCCGTTTCAGGCGTTGCGGAGGGGAAAGAGGGAAGGGGGGGAGGGGGGGGGGGGAGCGAGGGGCGGGGGCCTGCGGCCGCTTCTGCACCTCTTGGCTCCGACGAACATGGCGGCGCCTGATGCATCTATATCATCGGCGGCCGCGACCTCGGCAGTATAGCGAAACGTGGCCGTCCACGCCAGTACACCGCAGACGAACTAAGGGAGAGGAAGAACGACATTCTTGCTTTCGCATGGCACAACTCATAAGAAGCGCTTAGGTATCCTCGGAATTTTTTATTGACACAAACATGTTTTATTATCTATAAAGTAGTTTATAAATGACAGATGCTCTAGTAAACAAATATCATTGCACGGAAAGTGATAGGGCGCCTCGGAACAGCTCTGACATGTAAGCATTGTGAGTGGATTTACATTCGTAGCTACGGAATGTTTATTTCCTAGAATTACAGTTACACAGAGCAGTTATGCTAGAAAGGTGTACAAAGGCAGATCCTTCGGGCACGGACATATTGAGGCGCAATTTAAGAACACTACGTGGAAAACGATGCCTCAGGAAAAATTGGCTTGCTCTAAAGCAAACTTCTTTTGTAATGAAAATATCACTCGGAAAGGGGGAGAGATACTCCGCCGAGGCCTTTGCTGATGCATCGCATTCGTCATCAGGTTCTGTTATTGAATGTAACGGAACGATCTACTAAAACTTTATAATTGTGGCTAGCGTGATCATGGCAAACAAGGCAGTGATCGCAGAGTCAGGACAAGACGGGACATGAAATAGCGGTCCAACAGCTGCGACGAGAGTATTGGAGAGAACTGGAGAGCAGGCTCGCGGGTCACGATGGTGCAAGGTATCAGTTTATTTTAGTAGCAAACTTCTCTCGTGCATTTTGTTGAAGCACGTACGGATGACCTTTACTTAATTAATTTTGATATGAACAAAGGCACCTAATCAAATGTGTTTAATCACCTTTTTTATGCTCATTTCCACATGCCGTGCAACGCTCACAGTCAGTTTTTTTTTTTTTTTTAAATTGAGCAAAATAACACATGTGCTGCAGCTTTAAGGCACATACTTTTGCGGTCTCGATGTTCCGCATGCGCAGGTGGGCTTGTGAAGCCCCATCGTGACATGTCAAGCTCATAAAAATAGGTTTAGGGCTGGAAATACGTCGGGAAACAGATGATTAACCCTACTCCATCATGAAAGCAGCTGCGTGGACCCACTGCAGTACACACTGTATTCAACAGCACCCCTTGTTCGCAAACAGGTGCCATTCTCATTCGCTGGTGACGCTCAAATGTACAAAAGACCGCTGACGCGCTGCGTTCGGAATGACTGTGAGAGGTTGATTGTTCGTGTTGTGGGCTAAGAAAACTCACCGCAGGAACCGCGTAGGAAGAACCGAAATGGTAAGTTAGAAAAATTACAGGGATTGGCCGCACGTTTTATTCACGTCTAGGCATGGCAGAGCTTCTCGGTTACTTCTTTATTCCTCTGATGAAATCTTGCACGGAAATAACACATCTCAAATTCTTGTTTAGGTTGTCCAATACCTGCAACCTTGTTTGATACGGCCAATTGGGAGAGTGCATTATAGGGTCCTTAATATTCCAACGACTGAACAATAACACGTTTTAAGATCAGGTTTCTTTTTCGATGGAACCGCAGAAGAATGGAACCAGCTATCCAAATATTTTATAAACTTATATACTTTTGCTGTTTTTTTTTTTTTTTGTTTTTTTTTTTTTTTTAGGGAAGGCTGATGACTTGAAATTGTATGTGTCTTAGCTTTGAGTGTGTTGGGAAAGCGCGAGTTCTATAATTCGTCCTATATCCACGCGGCTGGCTTTTTTGTTTCCTTATAGTGTAGATTTACATGTGCGCGTTGTCTTTTTTTTCCGCTCCTGTAACTGCCCCGAATAAGGTGAACAGTATTAACATATAAATTTATAAATAAATAAAACCTGTTGGTTCCGAACAGTACCTTTTTCTTACATCCACTCGGAGAAAACGTAAATAAATGCGGGCAGTTTTTTTTTTTTTTATTTAATCTGTGGCTTGTTTATGTGTCTTTACAGATCTTCTATGACAAGATCCCTTCAGGAGAGCACTTTTATGTCGCCCGTTTTCTTGCTTACTGCGCGCCTTTATGACGTCAAAAATAATGCGACGTCAAAAAATAATGCAGAAACTTCCGCACATGCTACGAGACGCCCTCACCGTGTCCTTATGCTTAATAACACTGGGGGCGTTTTGGTATAGCAAGAGCAAGTTTCAGAGATGCACCCAGGAAAGTGTTTTGGTGAACGGCTCCAACGAAAACGTGTATATGAACCGGCTCGAGAACGTAATGTATAATTACTCTCTATGGACTCCTTTCTTCGATCGGAAAGGCTACTACGGTGGCAAGGACCTTCCGAGGATATTGCTCTGGACAGCCATCTACGGGAAGTGGCACTCCGGACTGACGGATCAAAGGGTTGACGAGTTAGAGTTTGCGGGATGCCCCGACCGCTGCTACATCGCCAACGACAGAAGACTACTGCACTCGAGTGACGCGGTCGTCTTGTACGGCGCAGACCTGGACCTGGCGGACATGCCATGGAGGAGGAATCGAGGCCAGAAGTGGGTATACTGGTCCCTCGAGCCACCACCGCATTCCGTGTTCAGGTCACTAACCTACTTGAACAACACCTTCAACTGGACAATGACCTACAGGCAGGACTCGGACGTTCTAGACTCCTATGTCTTGAGTTTAACGAAGAAGGCGGAGCCAACGCCGTACTCCATCGACGCTCTTCGCAGATTGTGGGAAGGCAAGACCACGATGGCTGTCTGGCCCGTCAGCCACTGCAACACGTTCGGCAGGCGCGAGGACTACGTAGACGAGTTGCAGAAATACATCGCTGCAGATGTCTTCGGGAAGTGCGGCAAGCACAGGTGCGAGCGCGACACGACTCCTCGTTGTCACATGATGTTCGCGAAAAACTATTTCTTCTTGCTTTCTTTCGAGAATGCCGTGTGCAAGGACTACGTGACGGAGAAGCTGTATTATACACTTTTATATGACATAATTCCTGTGGTGTTCGGCGGTGCCAACTACAGCGCGGTGGCCCCGCCGGGCTCTTACATCGACGCGCTCAGTTTTGAATCGCCGAAGCACCTGGCGGATCACCTGACATCGGTAGCCGAAGACTTCAACCTCTACAAGAGCTACTTCAGCTGGAAGGGCAAGTACGACCTAGTACCATGGACGGGAATAACCTTCTGCAACCTCTGCAGCAAGCTGTACAGCGAGCATTTCAGGAGGAGCACGGTGTACGAAGACATACTCTATTGGTGGAACGCGACTTCCCATTGCCGTGTATGGGACCGCTACAGTAATCAGCTGCTTGAGTGAGCTAGCTGCGCGACATCTGTGTCCCATAATTCGTACGGTGAAGGAGCCTGTAGAGATTGGCTTCAGTAGATTCCCAAGTTGGTAACCCTGGTTTCCAAGCAACGCTTTCGATGCGATGCAAAGCGAGATGACAGCGGTAAATGCACGTAGCCAGGGGGCGGGGGGCGGGGGGTCCTATGGGGCCCGGCCCCATAGGACCCCCCCCCCCCCCCTCCGAAATCTTTCATTTTGCTGGGTCCTCTTCTCCCCCTCCCCTCATACACCATTTTGTCACGGGCGCCCCCCCCCCCCCCCCCCCCGATACAAAATCCTTTCTACGTGCCTGTTCTCGACCATTCTATATATACCTACGAAGCCCTTCCCCAACCACACTCTACGCAGAAATCTCCTTTGTTGAGAACAGTTCCAAAGGGAGAGATCCTAAATGACACACAAAGAGATCAAGCCCACTCACAGACAAAAAAGGCCCTTATCTGTAGGACACCTCGGGACATGGCAGTGACCTTGATCAAATTGTCGACGGCAGCTGATAAAATTGTCGACGGCAAGAATCACGTGATTCTTGGTTCCACGCATCAAAGAAACTGCAGCAACATTGATCGGCTGACGCGGCGCAGGTTCTGGTACTCCTCCGGGTCCGTGTCAAGAAGGAATTCCGGAGAAAAGCTCACCGGAGATAAGCTCACCGGAGAAAAGCTTACCGAAAAACCGGCGGATGCGGAGGAAAGCTCACCACCCATTGAGCGTATGCGGAGAAAAGCTCGCCGATTTTGTTTTCTTCTTTTTATGTGGAGGCTGTTGGATCATGCGTAACATATATCAATTTATTATCATTAAAATTCATCAGCTTTGTAAAAAAAAATTTGTCCTTTTTCGTAATATTTGTTAAAGGGCAACTCCGGCCAAAACTCAAAATGAATTAAATTACTGCTATAGCTTTAGTGACACAAAATACGACCCCAGCCAAAATTTCACGTCCGTGGGACGCCGCATTCTCAACTAATGCCAATAATAAAAACGCGACCTGCCGCGAGCCGCTGCTCCTTAGCGGGCGGCCAGCGGGTTGCCGATCGCTAAAGCAACATTGGGCCGTGATGTCAACGTCGTCCTCTTTTTTTCCTCCGTTCCGGACGGGCGCACGGCGCAGCCGTCGCGCGCGCTTCTTTGTGTCGCTACCACCGCTACTTCGGCTTGTAATTGCGTGTTTAGCCGTTGCTTTTACCTGTAGCCCGTGTAGCTTCGGTATAGCTTTTTGTTTATTTGCTTGTGAGGACTCCTAGACCCGTTTTAGCGAGCAACTCGGTGCGCCCAAGACTGCGCAGCTGTTCCTCGAAAGATGCCGAGTACAACTTAAAGCGCTGTGGGCTGCTCAAACAAGCCGCTGCGCAACCCGGAGGTGCTTTTTCACAAGTTTCCAACGGATCGGAAATTGGAGAAGGTGTGGGTGAACGCTGTTCGACGAGTGGATTTTGGAAAGCCTTGGACGTCGACCCCCAGATCGAAGCTCTGCTCCGATCATATTCCGCCGGAGAGTTACGAACGAAACCTACAGGTGTTGGTTGCTTGTGGCTTGTCAGCGAAGGCGTCGAGGCTTAAAAAGGATGCCGTGCCGTCGCTCTTTGCCTATCGTACATGTACAGAAAAGGTAAACATGATAAAAGTATCCTGATCAATAAATAAAACAGTCATTGTCAAGTGCAGTGTTGAAGATTGAGCAGTCACGCTCCATTGAATGTCTGTTGAATGGGGAATGGTGGGCATGTAGAGTACAACCACTAACTAGCTCCAAACACTGAAGTTTGTAATGAAAACAAAAACAATGTTCTGCTTTGCGTCACTGCTTGTTTTCTACGCAATCTCGTGCGTAGTATTCATGCCCGTAACGACTATTAGCGAACAGCCGGCGCGTGAAGCTCATGCGATATAAACATTCGCCTCCCAATCGTTCGAACCCGTTACGCAGCAGTATTAATTAACATTGCGCTTGTGAACACCACAAGGGACTTTAAAGAAATTGCGAAAGTTCGGATTTGTAAGTTAGGACTCCTAATTTGCCCGAGTTCGGCTGGAGGTAAATACAATATTTAAAAATGCAAAAACAAAAACAAAAAAAAACACTTGCCTTAGTCAGAAGTTACGAAGGAAAACTTAAAATCCTATGTATTCTAATAAAAAAAATTGTTGTGGGTGGGGGTGGGAATGCGGAAGGGAAAGCAAGTGTTCTCACCTTGCTAACGTTCTCTGTTTTCCTTTATCACCCACAAACACTTTTGCTAGCTTTGAGAAGAAAATGACTGCCCAAAGAACTTTTATCTTTAGTGCGGCAAGTTTTTTTTTTTTTTTTTTTTATTTGTACAAAGATTCACTACTTGGACGAACTTATGTGGTGAATTAGTGTCGCAGCTTACAAATTCGGCCTTTACGCGCCTGAGGAAAAAATAACGAAAAAACAGACGTCTACAGCTTGACACACGTCTGTGCGGTTGTCACGGAAAGCGCCGGAGAGCCTCAAAGCTTCGTATCTGGGACTGACCTGCCGCGCGAAAGCGCCAGCACTGTACGTCACTGGCAGCGCGGCGTAGAGCAACGCCGCTCCATCCACGGAGCCCCGATGACAATTTAGGCCTAGCGACGAGTGCGGGAGACCGCACGCACGCCGCCGACAGCTGCCGAGTACGGCACCGAACGAGTTCACTCGTTTTCCAGTTGCTAGCTTTTGGGTATACAATCAACGAGTACGGCTCGGCATAGCGCACGCGCGGCGGCGGCCGCCGAGTACGCCACCGAACGAGTTGATGGGTTTTCCAGTCGCTAGCTTTTGGGTATACGCACTAACTCTTGCTACATATGCTGGATAACTACCACGTATACAAAATTTAAAAAAAAAAAAAATCAGCTTACCTTCTAGCTTTAGACGGCTAGCACAACAGAGGTAGGTGCCGCTGGGACTGCGTACTCGCTGAACGAGAACGATCTTGGCGTCACGTCCACATAACGGCTGATTTCCAGTGTTGCCGGAACCTCGAGCGGCTAGTTTCGGTTTCGTCGGCCGCGCCCCAAACAAAACTTTGAGACGTCGATATTTTTAAAACTACGCACAAAAACGAGAAAAAAATTACACCTTGCAATTCAGGGGCGCTAACTGCACTAAAAACAGCCATAATCCCAAAATCGAAAGTATGGACCGGAGTTGCCCTTTAAGCTTATTGGGTATATTGCTCCCAAATTAGTAATTGCGGGCGAGTGTTCTCTGTGGCTTACTTTCTAGGCAACGAAAGCCTAACTGAAAACTTTATGAACTTGAAGAATCGGAAAATGTTCGAAGACTCAATAATGTCTGCCTAAAACCTTAAAATTAAAACTGTAAATGCCGAAAATCTGAAAATGCATCAGCAACAACGCGGTGCCTGAAATTATCTTTGAAGCTTTTGTTAACCTTTGAAAACAGGGTAAAACAGTAAGTAAGATATTGAAGCTTCTTTCTTCCACGGACATGCACGTTTTCCAGCCGTTCGTGCTAGTGCTTCCACACGTTGCCTTTTCGTGATAGTGCCCTTCTACGGTGAGCCACCCATGGCCTTCAGCTCACTGGCACCGTTGTTACTCGTGACCTATATAAGAACTATTCTTCTGTAAGGTAGCGAATAGGGAGAGTTGGTAAACGTTATACTTACACATGAAGAAAACCGCTCAAACGACGACGACCGAGTTCAGGCAACAGACGCGACAGGACGAAGCTGTTCTCGCCACTGAAGTTTTGTTAGTGAAATTCAACAGAAAGCTCTCTCTCTAGAGCCATTAGTGATCAGCTAGAACTCCCCCGCTCGCGATCACATGACCGCGTGCTTGCACAGCCAGTGCGATCAACATGGCGAAAGGAGGAAAGTGCCAACGTCCGGGTTCGGCCATCCCCGTCGGGCTCTGCCCCGGTCCCCCTCCGGCTTCTGGCGGCTGTTCGCGGTAGCAGATATAACCGGCGGTTTCGTTGACCTCGGATCGATGGCGCCACTAAACCTCCGTATAACAAAAGTTTTGTCGACGATACCAGGTTTTTGACGCATTTAATATTTGTGTTGGAACGACAAGAATTATAGAAAAAATACCTTTTACCGAGCAGGTATTAGCACAACTTGCTATATTTTTACAAGTCCCCCATTGACGTCATGCTGCGCGGTTCCCATGGCCGCCGCTCGCGGCTGCAGGTCGGGAAATTCTTATTTTGGGCTAGCGCTTACGCGGCGGAATCGCAATATTTTGAAGGAAGGAGATGGTGTTTTCTGTTCTTTGTGACAAGATAAACAATGCCAAAATGAGAAGATGCGAATTCTTTCCACGTTAAAATCGTTGCACAACTCTTTTAAAGAGTCATTTGTAGCACATAAAGTCCACGTCTTATCGAGCGTAAAATCGCTTGAGTCGAACGACGTGAACCACCTCGGGTCGCGGTCGGCGTCGCGATGATGCGTGCATTCCGCCTGGCACCACTCTGTAGTTGCGATCTCCCAGGTGTCGAAGGACCTTGTATGGTCCAAAGTAGCCCTTTAAAAGCTTCTCGTTAAAGTCACGACGTCGTGTGGGCGTCAACACCTCCACTCGGTCTCTGGGCTGGAAGTGAACCTCCAGGCGACGAAGGTCGACATGTTGCTGGTCTAAGATACGGACTCGGGCGAGCTGACGCCCAACAGGTGGTTGCGCACTGGAACTGCGCAACTACCTGGGCCGGTTTTCTCGAAGCGATGGTAAACCCAGCCCATTTTGGTAAACCGCGGTGCCTAGGAAGGGAAAAGTACCTAGGTACTGTAATAAACAGCTGTATATAGACCAACAATAATTATTTTTGATTGGGCAGTAAGATGCGCCATCTATCGGTGAAACAAGCCAGCCATTTTGTTTATCCTCTTTTTCCGCTAGTTGTTATCGATCTAGTATGGTATTTTAAGTCAAAATATAGAAATGTTGTACTTGAAGACCAATTTAATTGCTTCAGATGGTACGAATAA